AATATATAATAAAATCAAATAGTTTTTAGCGGTTTTTATTTCAGTGTAATAATAATTGCCATATCGTTCAATATATACTCGAACGGTCTTACAATTTGAAATTCCACATCTTCAGAAATTTATTTTGTATAAATACGGCATAACTTTAATACAAACGCAATTCAACTTCCTGATTTAATATTATACATCGAATCGTAATCAAATTGGATTATAACTGTCATTCAACACTGTAACGGGCAGACCATTAACGAATGGGGCGTTTTGTAGTCACCGAAACTGCGAATAGTACTCAAGTGAAACGCACAACTACGACAATACTTTATATGTATAAAGCATTCACAAGCAAATGGCATTTTGTTTAAGGAAATCAGGCAATTTGCTTGTATACTAAGCTTCTTTTCTAAGTTTGTGTTTTTTCCACAAGTTTATTTGCTTTTCTTTTTCGCTTAGCCTATTGGTTCGCCTATTCTACCATTTTTTTTGACATCGTTCCCTCGCTTCTCAGTGTTTTCGTTCCATCTCTCTGACAGCAAATGCCTTGTCAGCAGTTTTTGGCAATAGAAATCGCATTAAATTCGCATTTGACTTTGTTTACCTGGCGCTTGGCGTATCACAGAGACAAGCCAACAATGAATGTGGGTATATCCTCATCAGGGGAAACATGCACATATATGTTTACATATCTAATATACATTTATGTATGTATGTGCAACGTATTTTTTGATTAAAACCCTGCAAGAAACTGCAGCACGGCAACTTATTTGAACTACCTAGCAAACATTTTACCTTTTTGAAGAATTTTTTTAAATTTTGAAAGAAACTATTTTGGTACTTCTAACTAAAAAATTTATGTACTACTACAAGTAATAATGGACATTATTCACGTTTTTCACATATTTCTGTTGTACTGTAATTAAAATTTTGTAATAAGCTAAATTTCGAAATTCGAAGGCAAATGTTTCGAATTCGAAAGCTAACTTCGGAAAACCGAAAAAATCCTTTTTCCTCATGACGGACTTTCTCGAAAAAAATTGGTTTGGCCCAATTCACAGCCGAGTGTTGTACATATAGTGTAATGAAAGCATCTGGTAGATTTGTTATAGGGTCTCTCATACATTTTCATTTATATATATGTGTGTTTGTGTGTAAGTGGATATGTATTCAAACAAAATGTCAATAAAAAGATTTCACAAACGCCATTTATGCTATTTTTACCTCAGCACAATTCAAGTGATTCCTTATGCTTTCCGTCCCCAGTCAAGTTGTTATTTTGCTTATAACGTTTCTGTTGTTCCCAACAGTAGTAGTAGTAGGGTGGGTAAAAAAACAGAAAGTGTCAAGAAAAGTGCCGTCAAGCACTGGGTAAAGGTAGGAGCTGCGTTTTTCTTGAACGGAAAGGATGATGGTGCAAGAAACACATACAATTATATGGAATATCACATACTTGTATACATATATTCAAACATATTGCACGAAGTAATACGTTGATCGCCCTCAAAGTCGACAACACTTCTCAACTTAAGTTGACACTTGTGCGCATTTTCTTTTTAACGGTGTTTCTTTGCACTTGTGTGCCACCGCTTCTTTCAAAATTGTTGTTTATCTTCGCTTTTTATCGCAAGTTGATTTCAGCAGCCTTTTTCTGTTTTGATTTCATTTACTTGAGTTGCTGTTGCACTCTAAATTATTTTTTCTTGTGTAAACTGGCAAACACTGGCAACTCATACACACTCACCTGCTCGCTTAATAGACATGTGCGTGCACTAATACCAACACACTTCAAAGCCTACTTTTACTTATATATGTACATGAAAGTGTTATAGCTGTTAATCTCACTTGAGCGCCATTTTGCGAAAGTGTTTCGTCACTCTAATTTTGTATAACTTTCGTATACCTGTTGTTTGCGCTGGCATATCAAAATAAAACTCAGAACAAGAATGAACAAATAAAAACTTCGAAAAGGTAACATTTTTACAAACAAACTCAAAGTTGCCTATTTCAAAATCAAGTGGAAATTAGCCCGATTTATTCGATATACATATGTAAAATTAAAAATATATATATACTTTATTTAATTAATGGGTAAATTTTCTTAGAATTGTATACAAAAAGAATACATATAGTAGATTCAATTCTAGTAATAATTTGGAAGACTTTAGAATATAAAATAAATTATTTATTAAATACAGATATTTAATACTCTGTATTTCAAACACTGATTATTATAAGCTCCTCGTGCTACGGTTTGCGCCTTTGATAAAATAGATACGCCTATAAAAGTTGCACACTATGGTGTATGAGATTTTTGCTTCACATTTCTGGCAACTACAGTTGCCTAATTTCTATAACAATCTACTTCAGTGCACAAAAGTATTAAGCTTTTCTTTACTTAAATGAACGTTTAAATAAATAATTTTTTAGAGATATTTTCAAAATGTTAAAAAACTAACTACTGTATTTTTCAAAATTTTGGTGTAGAATTTCAGATATAGTTACATATATAATTTCTCTTCATTTACCAATTTATTGTATTTTTCCTTTGATTTATTCCTTTATGCCAGCCACGCCAATTATTTTTCATTAATCATATATTTACAGATATTGCTCAGTGTAACCCAATTTAATTGTTGTGGTGAAATCTCCTGTGAAATCGTTTTGAATGGCAATGAGGCGTCTGTCTCTGTCAAGGCGACATTGAGCCGCGACATGTCGTCACTTTGTCGTCGTCAAGATTTGACATTAAGTCAGCAAGACAAGTAATTGTGGTATAAATAAAGCGATAGTCCAGCAGACGGAAATTTTTGTTGATACGCTTTTGAATATGAGGACTATGCATATGTTATGTATCTTATAGCAGGTTGATTTATAGGGAGTCAAATATTTCCCGCATACGCGATTAAAAAAAAAAAAAATCGACCCGCTCTAATATATATATACTTGTATATATATTTATGTATGTGAAATTTAGGTGTAAAAAATAATATTTACACAAAACTGTGGTGTATTTAAGAATATCTTTAAGAGCTTCAAAGAAATTTTCTCCAATTATTGCCTACTATTTTCTTACTAATGCCATTTCAATGAAATGGGCTCCGACTTTTAAGTTTTTGTAGCTACATATACCCAACTGCCTTCCGTTATTTCTTTACTTAACAACATTCTGTTACCAGGAAACTATTTCACAAGAATCTTTTAATACATCTGTTTTTGATTGACTCCCTGAGAGTTCATTACTTTTTTCCCCAATTTTATGTAGCTGTGTTTAATTTCCTATTTTCTATCCTTCTTTGTTGACTTATTATCTCTGCATTAACTTCTTCTTCGCTTTTTTGGCTTTTAGTAGCCAAGGAGTAATGTTGCATAACTGTCATTAATTATTTCACTCTGCCCATTCTCGCTCATTTATCATTTTCATTTCGAGCGATTGATTTTTATGATTGTTGTGATTTACAGCTGTCATTTAGAGCTTGAGATGCAGAGCTTTTGTTCTTGTCCTCTTTTGAATGACCGCACTACTAGTTATAGCAGAATGCGAATTGTTTTTGAGGATCTTTGGTTTTGTTATTGTATTTACAGATGCATTTGAGGAAAGATGAGTCGATATAATAAGGTACTGTATAAGTACTAAGTTTATGTCAGTACCATTAGCTGGTAAGACGAGGATTACGCTTTGCCTAAGATAACTTAAATTTTTATTATTTTTGCTTACACATTATACAGAAAAAAACACTAATAATGGTAAAAAATATAATTCATATCTCTTACTAAAAGTAACTATCATTATTGCTTTTTCAAGTTGCTCAAGTTGCTCAATTTCGTAATATTGGTAATTGCCACCGAAATACCTATTCGTTTCAAGCTCCATCGCTTATAAGCAACATAAATCGTCACTACTCGGGCAGTAAAAGAAATAACAACTATTCAGAATATAGATCCATCCACTGTACAAAGAAATCGCATTACTCATAATATATCAATCTGAAATCTCTCTCTGCACTTTGCTCTTGCTCGTTTTTAACTTTTCACACACACAAGTGTTTTCTATTGGCACTACATCATTTGACTGGCGGCTGACTGATTTACAACGGCACAGCAGGATGCTTGGTGGGGAAATAACGGTTTAGCTGCTGGCAGGAACGAGAGGTTTACCAATGAATAATATGCTAATATTGCAGGTAATAGAGGCGGGTAAAAGGTTGGAGAGCTTGGGTCATCAAGCAATAATTTCTTACCATGATGCAGGTATGGAGATTTGATTCGTTTGTTATTTCTGATGTGTGTTTGATTCTGATGCATGTTAGTACATACATACATGAAGCTCTTGACTTTATTTCGCTAGGAAATATAGGATTGAATTCTTACTTCCTTATAAAAACCACGCCCATGGAAGATATTTATATACATATATGTATAGCATACCTACCTGCGGCTCGAAAATTTATAGAAAAGTTAAATAATATTAAATAAAGGCATGGCATTGAAATATTTAAAACATAAAAAATAATATAATGACTGTGTACATTAAATTAAATAAATTACTGATTTACTGAGTTGACTTTATAAACTAATACCACGATGACCATAACCAATACAAACGAAATGCAGCTAAAATATAAAATGAAGGACAAATGAAACGGTTGAGGAATCGAAAATCGCATAAATTACCACAAAGATAGGACTAACTAAAGATAAAAATAAATAAATTAATGCGAGTAAAAAGCTGTTATAATAAATTCATTAATATCAACTAGATGAAGGTTATTAAAATATACAAAATGAAGAACAACGACACAGATAAAAAATTGGTTATGCGATTACAAATAGGAGCACACACACACACCCACAAAGCTATCGCTTAGCATAGTTTGTGAGTACGAATTGGTGATGGGTGAGGTTTTGGTTAACAACAACAAGTGGCAAGTAAATTTCTAATCGAAATTTTACATTGATTCTCATTCGCTTTGTATGAATATTTTTCATAAATGTTTTTGTAACCATACCCTCTTCCTCATTTGGAGCGGTTGTTGCTTGTTGAGCAGTGTCGTTGCTGTTATTGTTGTTGGTAGAAATACGACCGGTCGAAAATTTAGACATCTTTGGCAAGTTTTTGCGGCGCGCTTGCGACGCTGACTTTGTATTTACTATTTAGTATATATTTATGTATGCGGGCACGCATATGTACATAGATATTTGAAAGCAATATTGTGGAATTTTTGTTGTTATTTGCGTAGAGTTGTTTTGAAATTTACGTTGGTAAATATTAATACACAAAAGTGTTGATGCGCCCAGACAAGGATGGAGAAAAATAAAAATACAAAAGAGAAAAAATTAAAAATTAACAGCAAATAACTTTCAAATACTTAAATTAACATAAATATAATTATATACTTAGGTAATGTATGGGTTAAGCTTAAATAAATAAATGATAATTCAATAACCACGGCAAAACAGTTATAAATTAAATTTATATGAAACCTATGTATTAGTTGCTCAAAAGGTTCATCAAAAGTTTATAAAAATAAAATCTTAATTGTTGAAAAACATACGTTTTGAAAATCAGTACTGGGCTTTCCTTAAGGTGTTGCAAATATTTCGATTTGCCATTTGTCGCATTCGAATGTCGTCATTAAAAATTTTGCCTTTTATTTCCTTATAAAAATATCTCAATTTGAAACTTAACTTGTGAACACAGTGTTTCGTTCTTGGCGGGAAGTTAAAATCACTTATGATTAAGCCTCGAAAATACTGTTAGTATTTGTAATAAATGATGAATCTTTTAGAGAACCAAAATAAAGAATTTATGGAAAATAAGAAAAGGAAAATATACACTACTAAATAATTTTTTAGGAATTTGCAGGAAAAACATACTATTTTGGACTCTCAGTTTTGGTTTCTCTCAGGAATTTCAGAATGCAACACATTACCTAAGGAACGTGCGGCTACTGCAGTATGCTCATTTTACTAGCAAATATTTCAACTCTTTCTACAACAAACACACACCTAAACGCATGGGCTTACAAACACAACTTTACCCCTTTGTTTAATGACAAAGTGTGATTTATCACATTATTCAATTGTTGAATTAATCTATTAATAAACATATAAAGTTATCTATGGCATGCATTTGGATACTTACAATCTTCGACACACATTAGCCGATCCTCCATCAGCTTGAGACCGGTGGGACAGGCGCAGGAGATGCGCGGGCTGCGTTCATTGATGCGCGGCGCTGGTAGGCATAAATGCGAGCAATGACCATTCACCGCTTGACAGTGATTGATGCCGTCCGGTTGGCGGTAGGGATGGTAGACGTGTACGACCATTGGATGTTGTAGCTGCTCACACACATACGCACATGTATACATATATTTGTCAAAGTTATGCACGGTGCACAATATATGTGGTCGTGGTGCGTTCAGTAATTGCGGTCAGCCGGCAAATGTCATATGCAAAATGAAAGAAGAGTACAGCAAATTGTTAATCGGTTGCTCGAATTTTGCAATTAAATTAAAAATGCATTAATCAATTATTTATTTAAAGAACCAAAGTGAGAGCGTCACTGCGACAAGCCGCATTGTTGACGCGAATATCATGTATTAATCAACTTATGTGCTTAAACCTAATAAAAAATACGAACGATGAAAACATAAAAAATACCGTGTGAGTGCAATAGCCTCCATGTAACTCAATTTGCATCTTTCATATATACACTATATTTTATTAGCTTGTGCTAAAGATTTGTATCTAAATAAAGATAGAAGCTGGAGGGAAATGGCCAAAAAATGTTTTTATTGGTCTCACCGTTTTTTGATCTTATCAATTGGTTTTAGATACCATATTCGAAGCCAACTTCCAAATAATTTTTTTTTAAATGCTCGCAACTGTTTTCAAATAATATCTCATGATAATAGTAATTTGCTCAATATGCATAATACATCCTCTTCTTGTAGCTATCATCTTTTCACCAGCATGAGTACATGCAGAAAAGCAGGTGTGCCAGGCTGCAGGTAACACAAATTAATATCGTTTGGCATTTTAGCGAGAAATCACACACGTAAGTGGTGTTCCTATACTCCTCTACCTGCCACATATACATATAAGCCTTCGCTGCAGCGGCATCATTATTTATAGGGTTTAGTTTAAATTGAATTGGATTTGGCTGAAAAATTTAGTAGCAATATTTTGCAGTCGAAAAAACAGCTAGAAAGTCGAAGAAATATTTGGCTCTACAACTATATAACTATTTATATATAAAAGTATAGGCTTAAAGCCCAAAAGGAAATGCGTTTGTTGTTGTGCCTTGCTTTATAGTTGCTTGGGAAGCTTCACTTCGACTTTCGACAAAACAAATGCAATTTCAAAATTTTTTACTTTTTCCACCCATAGAGTGGCCATAAATGAATATTTTACGTTTCATATTTCCCACAGGGTCTATATATATATGATGTATTAATGTGCTTGAGTGTTGTATATGTATTTTTACCAGGAGCCGCATAAGTATACTCACTCTGTTGCCAATTTAACCACTATCACAAACGAACGCCAATGCTATTCCCACCAAAAATTGTGCGAGCAGTCTCTAAAAAGAGTACACTCTGAATACTCTCTATAGGTTATAATTAATAATGAATTAGTCTTTACCACAAATCTTTAGCAGACAGTTATGTATTTATGAGGCCCAGAATATTTTTAGTGTTTAGTTATTTTACTCTTTGTTTACATTTCCTCTCAATTACATCTTATACAAGAAATTACCCATTTGTACGACTTTTTTACGGTTGGTACGATATCTTTTTGTAGGTTTTCGATTACAATCTCTGCATAGGACATGATTAAATAAAGAAGCAGAGTTTGTTGTAGTATGTAAAAAGATCAAAAGTGCCATTTGTCACATGTTCTTTTGCGATTAATCGCGGACTCATCCCGGACTTTTCGAATATTTTGCAGGGATGCTTTCTGTGAAAAAACGTAACCTATGTAGCTCTCGTTGAACCTGGCGGCAATCACACTTATACAGAGACACAGTACGTGCGTGGTGGTTGCTTTACATCGTTTGTTGTTAAGCAGCTGCCGGCAATGGCACATATATTTTAGTTGACAACCAAATTTTTTATTTTCTCCAAAAAATTGCGAGACCATCCAGTAGCGCTAAATGTAGGTCAACATTAGAACACACACAAGCGCACAAATGGTTCTATGTTCGTATGTATGTAATTTTGGCAGGAAGCTGTTAGGTAAGTTAAGAAAAATTGCAGAAAACACAAAGATATGAAATAAAATTCATGGAGTTGTTTTGAGGCACGTGCTAGAGGCGAACAGGGATGCATATGAATGTAACAGTCCACAAATTGAAAGCTAAAATGTTTTAAATTTCTGGTAAGTTTTCCTTAAAATATTTAGTTTTGTAGATTTGTGGTTTCAGGCGCAAGCTTTCGTTTATCATCTTAAATATCAACTAAAATTAAAAACCAATACTTTTTAAATTAAAAGAAGGTTGCCAAATTTTGTATGGGAATTTTTATTGTTTTTTATTGTTTTAGACTTTTAATTTTTATTTGTCAATTCTTTAACTATACTGTTAAAACTAAATTTATTGATCTGATTTTTATACTCTCGCAACCTGTTGCTACAGAGTATAATAGTTTTGTTCACCTAACGGTTGTTTGTATCACCTAAAACTAATCGAGTTAGATATAGGGTTATATATATATAAATGATCAGGATGAAGAGACGAGTTGAAATCCGGGTGACTGTCTCTCCGTCCGTCCGTCCGTCCGTCCGTCTGTCCGTCCGTCTGTCCGTCCGTCCGTCCGTGCAAGCTCTAACTTGAGTAAAAATTGAGATATCTTTATGAAACTTGGTAGACATGTTTCATGGTACCGTGAGACGGTTGGTATTGCAGATGGGCGTAATCGGACAACTGCCACGCCCACAAAACGCCATTAATCAAAAACAAATAACTTGCCATAACTAAGCTCCGCAATAAGATACAAGACTGTTATTTGGTACACAGGATCACATTAGGGAGGGGCATCTGCAGTTAAAATTTTTTTTTAAAAAGTGGGCGTGGTCCCGCCTCTAATAGGTTTAATGTGCATATCTCCTAAACCGCTAATGCTATAATAACAAAATTCACTGGAAGCAAATGTTTTTAGCACTTCTATTGACGGTGTGAAAATAGTTGAAATCGGGTGGCAACTCCGCCCACTCCCCATATAACGGTACTGTTAAAAACGACTAAAAGCGCGATAAATCAAGCACTAAACACGCCAGAGACATTAAATTTTATCTCTGAGATGGTATAAGATGACTTTATAGGAACCGCGTTCAAAATTAGACAGTGGGCGTGGCACAGCCCACTTTTAGGTGAAAACCCATATCTTGAGATCTGCTTAACCGATTTCAACCAAATTCGGTGCGTAACGTTCTTTTCACGTTTCTATGTCATAGTGCGAAAATGGGCGAAATCGGACTACAACCACGCCTATTTTCCATATGACACCATTTTAAATACCACTTGATTCTTTCACTTTCCACTATGCAAATCAAGCAACAATGATTATATCGGCGTAAAACTTTGCGTGAATAATACGTTTAAAGTATGCCACCTTGTGACCAAAAATTTTCTAAATCGAACCAAAACTGTTCAAGCCCCTAGGTACTAAATATGTGGACCCCAGTGCCTATAGTTGACCTTCTACCGAAAATATCAGTCAATCCACAAAGAAATCTCAAACGAGTATACCATTTGACTTTGCGAGAGTATAAAATGTTCGGTTACATCCGAACTTAGCCCTTCCTTACTTGTTATTATAGTTTTTATTTTGAGATTCTGAAAGAAAGAGTATTTTAAAACTTTTTAATATTGTATAATGAAATCTTGAAGATTTTTTAATAAATTTGTATTTGTTGCGCACACCGTGCTACTTCATTGCATAAGCGACACGCTCAAGTACTCATAATGAGAATATGGACTGACATGCGTATCTAATACGCACATATAGAAACAACGATTTTCTTTAAACTTTTCTCTGGGAGCTTAACTGTTTGCCTGTCATTATTAATTTGATATTATGCTTATTTCCACTCACCTGATGCAGTGCTGTTACTGCCTCCACTCCTTTGCCATTAAATTTATTCGCCTTGAAGACGGTCTGCTTATCCCAATCGGACCAATAGATGTTATCCTCAAATGTGGTTATCGAGAAGGGGTGGCGCAGATAATCCGTTGAGTACAAGATCTGACGACGCTGCGAACCATCGTAATTTGCTGACGCGATAATATTCAATTTACCGTCAACCCAATAGATGCGCTTGCGTACCAGATCTAATGTGATACCGTTTGGCCACTTCACATCGTAGTTGATGATGGTGGTGCGATGTGAACCGTCCATGCCGGCGCGTTCGATGCGCGGTGAAGCGCCCCAATCGGACCAATACATCCAACTGAGGAAACGAGTGACAAAGAACAGACAGAAGGAAAACAGAAATGAGAATGCAGTAATAGAAATGAAGACATTGTTATTTTCAAGTGTTAATGTTTCTATACTCGTTGCAATTTTCTATATATTTGTATTTAGCATAAAACATTACATTATTTTCAACATGAAATTAAGCTTCCTTCAACGAAGAGTTGTTTAGGTTTATCTACACGATTACATGCATGCCACACGCAAATATAAATCGCTCATATCCACAAGCTGTTGCAATACTTTAATACGTAAATAGTTGGATATAGTCATTGCAATACTTTGATTGAGATTTCACGTTTTACACTCACGTATCATTCATGCCTCCGACTTGTTTTCTTCTACTTACCCCTCGATCGGATCTAGTGCAATTGAGCGCGGTATATCAAGTCCGTCTTCGATGAGTACCTTACCCATGTTGCCGTCAAAGTTTGTCAACTCGAGGGTGCATTTGTGCGTGTCCGTGAAGTAGATGTGATTGTAAATCCAATCGACGGCCAAGCCATCTGATGTTACTGAGTGGTCCTTGAGCACAATGGATTTGTCGTTGCCCTCGTCGATGGGAGCTCTGCCAACATTTATGGTGGTTCAATGAATATCAGCAAACAATGAAACGAAAATAATAGTTATGAAAATTTAGTTGAATATCAATGAAAGGCAATTAATAGTGAGTTAAAGTTTATGATCGGAAATTAAATCAAAAGTCGAGAAAATGTTGTAAATTTTATTAAGTAAAATGTTACATGAATGTTTTTCTGAGTTTCCATAGCGGAAAAATGCAAAGCTTTTAGAAGTAATGCTTATACTCTAAAAAATGAAAGCTCATACTCAGCGCCCTGATTGGAAATTCATTTATGAGCTTGCAAACTTGAAATCATGGGAAAAGTTGAGAAAATGTATTAATGGAATATTTTTTATTACCACAACATTTATATTATACCTTAAATAAGGGAAAGGTTCATAATCGTAGAGTGTCTGTCGAAGTCAGTAACCAACTTTAGCACCAATTTTTATGGATTTGTATAGTCAGGTGTTAATTTATATAAAAAAAAAGGCGCATCGAATAGGAAACAGTAAAACGATGTTGGGCTTTCAGTGATATTTGAACATTTAACGGAACTTACGACCAATCGCAGCCACTGTACTCGTCTCTAAGCATATACATCTACATAAATTCTCTTTTAATTGCATGAATTTGGGTCAGAGTGTAACAGTTGATTGTTAACTTCTATTTACCACAAGTGTGACGCAAGATTCAAATCATCTCTGCGGTTCCCATTAATTGCAATTAAACTGTGGCTACGCCAACAGATGTCAGTTCATGCCAAAGCCTAAATAATAGAAGCGAAATTAAAGCAGCATCAATAATTGAAGACTGTTTCTATTATGGTGATGCACATTGATGATTGCGCAGCTGCAATGACGCACACATACATTTATAATACATTCAGTTGGCAGAGATGAAAGGCGACTCAAAGTCAGATGTTTAATAACAACCACTGGAGATAAATTTTACTCGGGTGCATTTAATTCCAAAACTGTGGCAACGCATTTGACCACCGAAATGTAATGACGACAACTTGCTATATACATATGCATGCCCAGAAAGCGGTTTGCACTGTTCAATGTTGTGCTCACCTGGTGCGCTATCAAATCCCATCAACTGCATGCGTGTGCATGTGTGTGTGCTTTGATAGTGCAAGCATTTGTCGCTTCTATGACTAGGTATTCGACTAATATATGTACGAATGTGTACATGTGTTTACTTATACTGTATCTACATGGTAAGTTATCATGCCCGTTTTTGTTTCGAAAAAAATTAGATAAAAAGTTCCAGGGTCTTACATCATTGTCTATTTTTAGATCTAGGTTTAGTGCTTTGTAAAATAAACCAAATACACATATAAAATTATTGTGAATACAAATGCATCTCTGTGACGTTTGTGCGCGCTTTTTGACTTGATTTCGAATCCTGGAAGCCTCTTTGAAAGCCTAATAAATTTTTAGAGAAACTTTTTTATGTCCGAAATAAACTGAATAGTTTATGATAATGGTTAACTGTACAAGCTTTCAATACTTTGGAGCTTAGCTTAATATGTTACATTACGATATTGTTACAGTCGAACGTTAAAACTAAACTTGTAAAACACAATCTGCTACGTGCCGATAACAACGACATCGACGGATTGAATTACACTAGACTAAATTTGGACACTCCGTTCGCACAGATTTTTCAAAACAATTCTTTTTTTTACCCTGAAATCTGATATAGACACTTCTGCACACTTTTACGCAATACATTTCTTCATCCAAGCTTGCATCGTAATCATTTCAAGCCGGAAGTTATACCGTAATTCGTTCGTTAATTGTTTCCCACTCTATGGCACACATGGCTCTTTAACAATATGATGGGTACTCACTTATAAATGCTTTGTGTGGACACATCGCTCCAGAATATCATGCCAGTGCGGAAGACAAAATCCAATGCAGTTGCCGATTTCGTATTATTCACAATCGATGTCATTTCCATGTGGTCCAAAGCGATTTTTCTGATGTCATGACGTCGCGCCAACAATAACGATGCATGTCCCTCGGTCGCTTTGCAACGCGTATGATTGCGTGGATCCCGCATATAGCCCGCCTCGCATTCACATTTGAAGCCGCCAACTTCGTTGATGCAGATTTGTGAGCAAGCGCCCGGATCTTCGCATTCGTTAATGTCTACGCAGGTTTTGTTTGTTTCGGTCAGTTTGTAGCTGCAAGTAGAGAACGAAAATAAGCGAATATGAATATACGTACACATGCATACAAATAAGATAGATGAGTATAACCGTACATAAATATTTATGCACTGAGCAACTGCTGCAGTAGTTTCAAGTGTTTGAATTTCACAGTAAACACTCTTGTAGCATACGAATACAAACGGGGGAATGAATGTGGAGTCATTGCGGTATTGATTACTTACGGTTGGTTGAGGTATCAGTACACACAGTAGTAGCTACCAGCATGCACTGAACCAAACGCACATACTCACAAATTATAAATGTGTAGAAACTGCAAGGCTCTTAGACTTAGGTGGTCTAACTTCAATCAGCTTAGCGGACAACGTGAGTGCCGCACTTGGCTGCCAAATTCATTTAAACCAACTTGCGGTAACCACACACTATCACACTCACCAAAACAGTTTCATTGATTGCCACATCCATTTCGGATTACAGCAAATACCGTTAGCAATGAGATTGGAAGCGAAAATTAACGTGCTTTAAGTAGAGTGATGTATGCCTACACATCAAGGCTATGTGTGTTTGTGCAAATATAATTATGTATGGGCGAGTATTGATATGCCGGATCTGGGATTTGGGAAATGTTGAATTAAAAACTGGGCTGTGCGTGATTTCCTTCACTATGAGAATTAATAAGGCTGCTAGGGTTGATAATGAGCTGAGTAGGAAAATAGCTTCAATATGTACTCTAGGAAATACAATTTGGCCGCAAATGGGAACATGTAATTCTAGTTTATTCGATTTCGTTACGGTTTTTTCGATGTCAAAGATGCAAGAAAACCATTTGTCATCGACCAAGCCAGGTTGATGGTCAGGAAGTTTTTGCTATGTCTTTGGTGGAATAGGCCGAATTACAATTAGACCGTCAAGAATGAGGAAATCGTCCTAAAACGCTTAGCCCTGACCATAAGGAGGAGAATTGTGTTCCATCAGGGCAACGCCAGGCCGCATACATCGATAGTGACTCGTCAGAAGTTTACGGAGCTTGATTGGGATGTTCTTATGCATCCAACTTAGAACCCGAACATCGACCTTACACTAAAGCGTGTTATTTTCTCTTCTTACTCGAGGAATTCGTAAAGATTTAGGTTAAAACTATATATACTTCTGTGTAGGTACAAGTATGAGCCAATCAGAAGAATATTTTAATTCTCGATATTAAACATTGTAGTCTATACAATTCAATTTTAACTTACCCAGAGTTGCATTTACAGCGATAGCCAATCGGTTGGTCAATGCATTTGTGCATGCAACCGCCGTTATTCACCGCACATTCATTCACAGAACATTTGCCCGCCGGTTCATCCTCACCATCCGGGCAGTCCTTTTTGCGATCGCAAACCTTCGACAGTGGAATACATTGCCCGCCGCCGCAATCGAAGTGTGCCGTGGCATTACATTTGGTGATTTTCGAAATGCCTACAAAGAGTTTAGAAATCAATTTCATTTGCATTTAACAAAGTTAAGCAATTTATTTGTATACATTTACAATTATTTTCAACTTACCACACATCTGCTCATCACTGCGATCCGCACAATCGGCCTGCCCGTTGCACGTTAAATGTCCCGCTATGCAGGAGCGATCGCCACACTGGAACTGATCCGGCCGGCATGTGCTGTTGCGACAATTCTCCTGCAGCTCATCATCGCCATGGGGACAGTCTTTTTCGCCGTCACACAGCCAGCTGTGGTGTAGGCAGGTAATACGATCGCGGCATTGATATTCGTGTGACAGACACGGCGTTATAACGTGTGTGGCATTCTTGTCGCAGGATTGCTGAAAAATCAACCAAGTTAGTATGAGTATATTATTAAAAAAGTTCGTGATTGCAGTCATCATATTGGATGAAAAAATAAATAAAGTTTGACACATTCATTTCCAGGCTTCTTTTGAATCAAATAAGCTAAATTATGACTAGGGTTGTTAAGTTTCAATAGACACATTGGATGAGGTAAGTTTGGGTAAGAATAGGATAGGTTGAAGTGGAGATCCAAGGACACTACAAAAGACCGTTATAGTTATACCATATGTGATGCTAAGCTGAAATATTAGAGAAAAAAGAAAATCTCCATATTGCTAAAAAAGTTCTTTAGTTGGTTTACACTCAAATTTGTTAGGTAAAATCTATCTATATCTGGCGAAAGTGTAAAAAACACAAATCAACTGTATACGAAATGGTTATAATAATTGACTCCTATTCAATCCTTCATTCTTATTTCAGCAGGTTATTTGAGTTAGAACCTAACCCGAAGAGAACGAGGGTCAGAAAACTTTCGTAAATTAGCCGTTGAGGAACCTGTCTACTCCATTGTTATTAAGCCGTCATCCGAGTAACTTTTTAAGTAATTTTGACAATGTATTTTCATCTGACACAGGATATTAACTTAATAATCCGAAATATAAATAATAATTCGGAAAAAATATGCAAAGTGAAGACATGTAAATTGAGCGAATTCCACCGACATTCATTGTCCTTTGCCTAAAGGCAAATTTTGCTTTATTGTGGCGGAAAATTCCGAATAGGGAAATACGCCAAGAGAAACTTTGCCAAATTTGGCGTGCATACCGTTACTCGTATGCACTCAATTTCCGGCTAAGCGAGTTGCTGGTTTGCAGACGAACCAAAGAGTATAATAGAAATATTTTACACCATTGCGCACAAATATGAAAATGCAAGTCTCATGAAAGCAACAATAATAGAACTGGTCTGTCAAAAGACTTTTAGGAGAAGGCACAAAATTGTTACGCTCTGAAAAGTAGAAAAATATTTTTTTGAGTATTTCGTATGCTTGAGCGTAACAAACGAGCGAGACGGAAGTACGCACAGAACAAGGACCAGAGAGCGGTAAGTATCCTAAAGGATAACTGTGCCGCAACTTATGCACATTAGCTTATGGCATGCACATATGGCAGGGCAGTGGCACACCACAAAATATTCTAACTCTTGCAAGCGAGCACATGAAACAAAACTAAGATGCAATATCCGTTGAAAGCATTGGAAGTGCGTAACTGACGTATGCACGTGTGTGTGGGACATGAACTTATTTACATGTACATCGTTTCTGTCTGAGCGCTCAAAACTATACATTGTAAGACAGTAAGTCCCAGTGCACCTAGGTGGAGACGAAGTTGGGATCAAGGGTTTGACTAACAAATTTAATAGTATGCACAACTTTACGACGTATGATGTTATATTATATTATGTAAGAAGCAATAAGACCAAAAAGTTGTTAAATTTTTTTTAATGAATATTTTGCCTTAATATTCTTAAAATATAGGGAACATCGATGAGTGGCAAATTTCTGTTATATCCATTAGCCTATCGTTTAGAGTGCTACTTATATCAGACACCAGCTTAAGACTACTAAACTACTACTCTTGAATCCCAAACACGAACCCATTTTCACTGTTTTCTGGATATATCGATATAAAGTAAACATTAATGAACAATTCGATAATTTTGATGCTGAAGTAAAACTTTTCAGACGGTCAATTGAGCCAGACCGTGCTTTTGCACTCAGTAAAGCTGCTAGCTTCCCAGGAATTCAAACGAGATATGGACTAGTAACGCACACCGTAGCATCTACGTTTCGGGAATGCAATGCAAAGTAGTTGCACTAAAGCCAAAGTCTTTCATAGGTCTAAAGAAAAGGATTGCCAAACACTGCGGGAATTCCATGGAAGAATGAAAAAGTTTCCAGGACTAGTGAATAAGTTACTTTGCGTAGGATGGGTACAAGAGGAGAGTCTTCAGAATAACATAAAGCGGCATAAGCATAAATACCAGCGGATCTTTTTAATAAACCCCGAGCGCGCACAAATCCGAAATCGAAGAAGAAAACAAGGCATCGGAAAATGTAAGACAGCCAATAGAAAAAGAAACGAAAACTGAAAAATAATAAACAACAACACGCACGCAAGATTTTGTAGCGAAATTAAAAAAGAAAGCGCTTTTATTGCCACTAAAGCGCAGAAGTGGAAAATCCGCAGCAGGCAAAGTGTAAAAAACTTTTCCCATTACACCGGGACGCTGCGGCATAACAGAAGAAGAAGACTTTCTCTGCTGCGAGCACATTCAATCATCCCTACTGGTGTCTGTATGTATGTATGTGTGTGTCTATCGAGTTTTGCGCCAGCATAGAATTAACCCATTACCATTGGCAGAGTGCCGACGCAAATTAAGGTGCAGCGATGCCAACAAAATACGCCAATAATCCGCGCTATCAGCACTTTGCAGAGTGAATGCAAGAAAGCATATTAAACGTTCCACCTACAAACACCACGACTAGCTGAGTTCACAGTGCGGCCGCAAGCAACAAAAAGTATACAAGTATGTAGCCAGCAAAACTACTCAAACTGTATATAAAGAGCAACAATAACAACACGGTCAGCAGTTGTAACGGCATTAAAAACATGAAACTACTTCAGCTACTGTGAAAATACACCGCACACAGCCACATTCACATACACACACGGATATTCTTCGCTTAAGGATACGCTGAGCGGCTAAGTTGTCCGTCTGGAGTGGGCTGCTCCGACCCCTGCCGCTCAATTTGCTGTGCTTGCGTACGCTTGATTGCTGGAAAATACGCTGGAGATTAATTACACACAATAAATAAAAGTTTGAGCATGGGCCACAGGGAGCGGCAAAGTTAAGTCAGCTCATTGCAGCCCACGGTGCTATATTTACAACTTCTCCCTTTAATGCTTAATCCTTTGCGTTGTGTGTTATTTTAAAAGCACAAAATTGCGATTTAGTTGCACTAACATTTTCTGGCTATTACACCCGTGTGCAAATAGTTGCATGAAGTGTTATGATATTGTGAACGGAATCGCTATCTATATCAATAAAAATATGTCAAGATACTGCTACATAATTAAGACAAGAAGACATCGAGAGCATTTCATTACTTTAAGATGCAGATAAAATATAGTTTTAAGTTAACGTCGTCAGTTTTTGAAGCTAGCTCACATTTAGTGAGACGTTTGCATGATGTCTATACTGTACGAGTACCGAGTTTACCGTGTCATATTGTTATCGATATCCGAACTCCGCGAGAAAAATATCGATTAAATTGTACAATTTTGTTCAAATCAAACATCGTGAAGTATATACCTATACTATGTTTTTTGATGAGGAAATGGCCTCTCCACGATATCGGGATCATCGGATATGCTATAGAATGAAAAAAATATGATTTTTTGAGAAAAATAGACAATAAGTTTTGATAATAACGAAGCTTCACACTTTTTCGGTTTGCATCTTGTTCCATGGATATATTATACTGAGTCCCTGTTCCATGGGAAAATAATTGTCACTTAATGCCAAAATGAAAATATTACGAAATGATCCACTTATTATGTATCGGCAAATATTTATATGTGCGCAAAGTACATTGGTATTGTGTAATGTTCGAATACGACCAAACTTACCATAGCCTTCCATGCCTTGCGTGTTTTGTGAGCTTTCTTTCTTTTTTGTTTGCTTTGGTAAAAGTTACATGCTTCCAAAGAGTCAAAGTGCCGAACAATGTTTGTGTACTTGAAAAATAGCAACATCAGCAAAAACAAAAACAACTAGCAATAACGGCATTAGATGTGGCGCTGTACACGATGCACGACCAAGTCATTTGCGGTCTGCGCACAGCACTTTAAAAGTAAAAAGTCATATGAAAGAGTAATTTTGCGATTTTTTGTATTTCGATTTGGCTTTGCTGTTGCTGTTTAATTGGCGAGTTACTAACAAATAAAGAGGGAAGGAATTTCGAATTGGTGGTGGCTTTTTCATTATCTGAATTTATTTGTGTCTGCTTACAAGTTCGTAAACTCGAAAAAATATTGAATTTAAAGGGAGATCAAAAATGTATTATCTTTATAGTATAGATTTGTCTGAGTATTGTCAAAAATTGTATTTAGACTTTAATGCAAAAGTTTTCAGAAATTATTTTCTTTGTTTCTTATAAAGCCAGTTACAGACAAATTACAAAATATGTAAGAATGAAAAATTAAAATTAACATTTTCACCGATTTGGTAGCTCTTTTGTAGTTGGGTAGCGAAATTTTAATCTAAAATTGGAATTGAGTCCGTATAACTCAAAAAAGCCTTAAACAGAGCTATATAAATAGTATATGGCAGAGTGCCGACAAGTTGGAATGTTGTATCAACAAATTCGTAACAGAAAGTACATATGCCAAGATTTTCATACATTTTTGACTCCCTCATCAACTGATAATGTGTGAGTCCCTAACATATGTGTAAGTATAAATTTGTACATATTTTTAAGTTCACATATGTGTGCCTGAAAACTTTTGAAATACTTATATATGTACTTAAGTCTGCGCACAACTGTGGCTACACTTATTGCGTCTTAGTGGCACTTTGAAATAATTTTTATTGAACAGCAGCATACAAGTATATGGGCTCACATACACTTACCTACACAAACAGCAACTAGTCCATATAAAAATGTTTACATGGTTTCCGTCTTTGTTGCCAGCAATTGAGATTGGTTTTTAATGAGCTCATGTATACAATTTTCGTTGGTGCAAACTTTTGCAATTATCGAAAGGAGAAATGTGTAGCAATTGATACATTGATACACGAGCATGGTAGCTACAATTTTTGAACTTATTTTAATTAATAAATTAATTGATCTCATGAAAGCCGCCAATGAGTACAGATGCTTATTTTTAATTATTTGGGAATATTAATAGATATTATACTTCCCTTGATGTGCGACGGCTATTATAATAAAATACCTTCTAAATATGTATAATTCTACACTTTACAGTAAATGTGATATAAACCCACCCTGGAAGCTAAGCACATCCTAATTTATATATAATTATACAATATATAAATTGCCTTGCACCACCCGGTATGAATATTTTGGTATTTGTCATTAAACCAATGAAATTTGTAATAACTTCCAGAGTTTTTACACGAAATTTTCCTGGCAACCCTTGGCGCATAAGCAGCATTGTAATTATAAATAACAAAGGAAAACTCATGGCTAAAAGCACCAGCACGACCACAAAAAGAGGGGAAGCGGGTGAATGAGTAAATTGAAATTGCAACGGCAAAGCATTTTCCACTACATGTTGCTGCCACAGAATTTAATTTAACGAACACGCATTGAGAATGCAAGCGTAGAGCAAAGCTAAACACCGCTCAAGGGGCGATGGGGGGGCGGTGTTGTCTAAAAGCCAACTAGTAGATAGAGCTGGCGAAAACAGGAATGAACAAAAACAAAACAACTAACAAAAGTTGCAATGGGAACAATGCGAATATCCATGTGTTTGTTGCAAAAACTGGTGGCAGGTGGAAAGCTTATTCAAATTTCTCACCGAACTCGCAACCAAACTGAGAACACCATTTTCACTGAAATTGCACCGGCGGTACACAAGGCGAATGCAGTGGACGATTTCAAGAATTTTTTTCCACATCTGGTGGCAATATTCTTTGGATGCAACCTCGTTGTATCTTTTCCATTTTTTTTTTAACTTTTTGTTGTTTTTATTGTGATTAAATTCATGATTACCACATTGCTCTTGCCACACAGAAAGCAACTGTAAATAATGGTTGAAAAAGAAGTAATAAACTAACGATAACACACATATGCAGGTACATATTTTGCTTCTGTATAGGTAAGATGCGTCGGTCAATGCTGTGTTGCAAGTGGCAAGGATTATAGCGATCGCGGCGTCAACGACAAATGCTTGTAGCACCGAGGGTGCGCTGGTGAGTGTCTCTGTGGAGTCAAAAACACATTTTTCTGTTCACTTGCACCGCAAACAGTTGTCATGTTTGTTGTCGAACTCGCCTTTATGTTGCGGTTGTTGTTGCGCAAACTGCTGTTCTCGCATTCCGCGTGCACACACTCAGACACATACATATATACGTAATCCATAGTTAATTAAGTTTCACAACATACAGCGATATATAAAATTTGTTTTCGTTTTTGGCCTTTTGCACTCATTTTGTGGCATTTGAAGGAATTTGTAATTTTCTTATATTTCGTTTTTTGTTAAATATTTTAGTTTGTGAGGTTAGCTCGAAAAAAACATGAAAATTTATTTGCATTGCAAGAATTCAGAAAAATAGCCCGACCGTGAGGCATTTGTGTGAATTTTATCAACAAGTTTTCGCTAACAGCATTCTCCTCTCGGCAGTCTAGAGTCGAGCGTATTTTTGTCATCGTTTTGAAATTGCAGTTCTCCCCAATTTGTGGGTCAATATCAAGGCACCGCGATAGAAAGAAAAAGCTCAGAGAGTACCTCATGTATTAAGTTTGTCACAAGTCTTCCGATGATAACAACTAATCAGAAATGTTGCACGTTTTAGCACTGAAAAGATAACAGAGGTTCTGTCACACACCTCTTGGGAATTCACTGAACACAATTTGTTTGATTCTCGGGTATAAAACACATAAATGAGAGATTTTCACCAAAATTTTAAATTACATAATAATAAGGCAAGATTTGACTCCCCACAGTATAATAAACACATTTTGTCCCATGTAATTCCCGCTATTTTTTTTTAAGTATAAAACTAAGCTTTAGCTTAAGTTGTGCTTAAAATTTGCGTCATAATACAAATATTTAAATTTTTCCCACACCTTTAATTACGTTCTCTTCACAGTATCATTCTATCAAAATCAAAAAAAAAGGGAAGAAAAGTGTAGTTGCAGCACTTACCTGCTCATCGGAGCCATCCACGCAATCCGGTTCACCATCGCACACCCAACGTTTGGCGACACAACCGCCATCGCGACAAGAGAACTCGGTATTTGGATTGCATGTTTTCGGCGGGCAGTCGCGCTCATCGCTGCCATCACCACAGTCGTCGTCCTGGTCGCAAACCCAACGTTTCTGTATACAACGTCCATTGCCGCAGGTGAACTCATCGGAGCGGCAGGTCTCATCTGCAGCAGTGGCAGCAAACACCAGCGAATGTGGAAAATTTCAGTTGGCGCAGCAATGATAGCAACGCAGCAACGGCGGAGTGAAAGAAGAATAGAGTAAAATATGCTATTAGCAAAGTATAATTAATTTTGTTGCGGCGATTATTGTTACAAAGGAGGATTTTTCTAACTCACACCAATGCATGCTATGTCAGTGCGTAGGTTAAGTCCTAAGATAAAATAGCGAAAATGCATAAAACAGAGTGCATGACAGGTGTATATATACGTGTGTATTTGCCTGTGGAGGCAAGTAGCTTGATGAGGATATTAGGATGACACAAAGTGCAGTAATGAGCGGATTTGTGATACGTAGAGGTATTTATTAATTATTAGTAGTGCAACTAGGTGGAAATTAGTAATTGTGGGATAGTTTTTAATAGTTAAAACAAAATTTTATTTAACTTCGTAAGAAAAGGGTATATCATGGATTTAATCATGTTGTTTGAAAGGTAATAAAATTACACTTATATACTGTATTTTTTATAAGATAAATAAATAGGTGTGGGAATAATGTACAAATAATCTTGTTGTTATTGGTTATATGCTTAAGTGAAACTAAGTCACTAAGTCACACAAATTTGAATGATTTTAAGCATTATATATGTTTACAGCCGTAGTTTTTTCTTACCAAACTTGAGTGTGGTGGTAATTTTTAAAGTCAAAAATCTAAGCAGTTGAGATTGACCCAACAGTTGTGTGTGAGCACAACTAACTTCACACTGTTTCTAACTACTTTTTTTCAGTAACCAAAGCAAGCGATATACATAATAATCTTTTGTAAATATAAGTAAAAGTTGTTTGTTGTTGTTATTGTATAATAATTTTATGTTATAGTTACAGAATCACAAATGATTTCTAAATATTTACAGGCCTCTTTCTTTTGTTAGAAAATGTATTTTGTTAAACAACAGTTTTTTTTAGTCTCTTTTACAAATTTTTTAAACATTATACTTATAAAATATAATTTTCTGTTTGAAATTGATGTTGAATCCATTTATTAACTTTTTGCTTTTCTTTTTGTTTTTAAACTTATATACAAAGAACTGTATATAAGTGTTTCAACATTTTACATAAGTTTTTGCATTAATTAACTCACAGATATTAACAGATAGCAAAAACATAAACATAAATAAAATTGGTATTTGAATATTTGTTGATATTTAGTGTAGGTAAAGTTGAGCAAGTGTGCCAAAAAAACATATACAAATTACTAACTTATTATAGAAAACAAAAAAAAATCTCATCAAATAAATTACATGTAAAGTTAACGGGAAGAATATAAGGCAGAGAACCATACAAACAACATGAAGTAAAGCTAATATATTGAGAAACCAACACCGGTAAAGAGTCAACAGAATATTTGAAAATACACAGAGAAATAAAAGGTGAATTCTCCGATAAATAAAGAGAAATAGTTACACAAAGTGAACTTTTCAGATACTCTAGAAATTTTTGATAATCGATTGATTTTGAATTATCGCTTACTGCATGAAGCCTCATCGGAACCATCGGAGCAATCTTTGCTCTGATCACACATCCATGCTAATGGAATGCATTCACCCTCGCCGGATTTACATGAATACTCATCGGGTGAACAGGTTTTTGTTTCTGCAATAAAAAAGTATAAACACGCAATTAAAAACATGTATTTCTTATCGTTGAAAAGTGGTTGTTGGAAATTGTTTGAAAATTCTATGCCGACATATCAATTTCATTATATGTATGTACGTGTTGGTTTAAAAGAAAAATATTTGTATATATATTTTAATTGTGTTTTAATTTTAAAATACAATTGTGTCAATATATTGGTATGTATTTTATTGCTAATCTAAAAATGTCAGTGATAATGTTACGATATATTATATGTAGGTATTTGTAATAGTATAAAAATTCAAATAAACCTACGCTTTTTTGTAAAATATCAAAAAAAATTATTTGCTATACAAAAAAATGTCCATTAGCCAATGCATATATAATTAAATTTAAAATATTTCAAGTAGATTGCTTACAAGTGTTTTCATTTCGGTTCTTATTTTTGATATTTTGCAAGTAGCAACATCTAAACCCGCATTCATTCCACTCCGCTTCATCGATCTCAGCATTTGCCAACATTTTTCTCATTCACACTTTTCATTTATATTTTAAGTAGATAGTAATGATCGGCTTTGAGCAATAGTATAAAACAAATACCTCGACATACACATTATCAGCAATGCTCGCAGTTTCGACCAGAACATGCCACTCAATTTACAATTATCAACCATTTGCGCTTGATTATTTGCATTTGTTGCAATACTTCGTGTATGTGTGTGTGTGTTTACTGAGCAAAGATATCAAATATGCAAACAGAGGGACATCATTACATTTGATTACACGGTATGTACGTACATATTTGTATCCTGCACACTTCAATTCATTCATTGCGAAAAATTCTAAATTCCACGCAATGCCGCATATTTTTATACTCTCGCAACCTGTTGCTACAGAGTATAATAGTTTTGTTCACCTAACGGTTGTTTGTATCACCTAAAACTAATCGAGTTAGATATAGGGTTATATATATATAAATGATCAGGATGAAGAGACGAGTTGAAATCCGGGTGACTGTCTGTCCGTCCGTCCGTCTGTCCGTCCGTCTGTCCGTCTGTCCGTCCGTCCGTGCAAGCTCTAACTTGAGTAAAAATTGAGATATCTTTATGAAACTTGGTAGACATGTTTCATGGTACCGTGAGACGGTTGGTATTGCAGATGGGCGTAATCGGACCACTGCCACGCCCACAAAACGCCATTAATCAAAACAAATAACTTGCCATAACTAAGCTCCGCAATAAGATACAAGACTGTTATTTGGTACACAGGATCACATTAGGGAGGGCATCTGCAGTTAAATTTTTTTAAAAAGTGGGCGTGGTCCCGCCTCTAATAGGTTTAATGTGCATATCTCCTAAACCGCTAATGCTATAATAAACAAAATTCACTGGAAGCAAATATTTTTAGCACTTCTATTGACGGTGTGAAAATAGTTGAAATCGGGTGGCAACTCCGCCCACTCCCATATAACGGTACTGTTAAAAACTACTAAAAGCGCGATAAATCAAGCACTAAACACGCCAGAGTCATTAAATTTTATCTCTGGGATGGTATGAGATGACTTATAGGAACGCGCTTCAAAATTAGACAGTGGGCGTGGCACAGCCACTTTAGGTGAAAACCCATATCTTGAGATCTGCTTAACCGATTTCAACCAAATTCGGTGCATAACGTTCTTTTCATGTTTCTATGTCACAGTGCAAAAATGGGCGAAATCGGACTACAACCACGCCTACTTTCCATATAACACCATTTTAAATTCCATGTGATTATTTCACTTTCCACTATGCAAATCAGGCAACAATGACTGTATCGGGATAAAACTTTGCGTGAATAATGCGATTAAAGTATGCCACCTTGTGGCCAAAAATTGTCTAAATCGAACCAAAACTGTTTAAGCCCCTAAGTACTAAATATGTGGACCCCAGTGCCTATAGTTGACCTTCTACCGAAAATATCAGCCAATCCACAAAGAAATCTCAAACGAGTATACTATTTGACTTTGCGAGAGTATAAAATGTTCGGTTACATCCGAACTTAGCCCTTCCTTACTTGTTGTCTATTGAAATTATTCACAATTATTTTTGTGCTTGTGTGACAACCTTTTTCAGCCTTTTCGTAACCATTGTATATACAAGAATATAATTATTTGTTGAATGGTTGTTGTTATTGTTTTGCTTTAATTGTTTTGATTGAGATGTTATAAGATTCTCTCCAAACCATTGGTAAAACTATATATGTATATAAATTATATTTATAAAATATTTCTATCTGAAATTAGGCCAGACCACAGTTTAAATGCATAAAATACAGCTGGTTTCAATAAATTGCAAGCACTTTAGCTGCATTTAATGGTTGGTTGGGTTTTTGTTCCAAATTGTACGTTTGCATAGCGAGTGCCTTGTTTTTCTCATTAGTTAATTAAGTTGCTTGTCAATTTGACGGCCTGACATGTGGAACTATTTTACGAAGAATGTCGTAATTAACTACGTTTTAACACCGAAATGTGGGCAAGCCGAAGAGAAAAGATATTTTTTGAAATATTTATTCTTGCAGCAACTGTCTACTGTGTTTTGAACAATTTCCAAAAAAATGTTCATGCAAAAATTTAATGTTGGTACGAAAAATACGGAAAGAGTTTATATTAACAGCAAAAGTAAGTATGCTTCCCAGAGTTAACGGAAATTATGAATGAAAAAAAGGTTTCCAATAAAGCCTAAGGTAAGGTTAACGAACGGTAAGAGTAACGAATAAAAAGCTTACACAAGATTAACGTCGCTCATATGTGGATTGTCGCTTGCGCATTTAGTGAATTAGACTTGGAAATTGTTTTTGTGTAGTATTAACTGTGGGGGGTCTAGTAATTTTCTAAACCAAATTGTCTTGATTGCATTTTTATAGCTAATACCTGCATTATATTGCCTGCCTCTCTTCTGCTTCACATCAGCGCTTCTAAAGCTAGTATTCAGCAATTTAAAGGCTACTTTACTAGCTGATGCAATCAATTTGCAAAGCTAAAAGCCTTTAAAATCGAATTAAAATTAAATCGAAAATATATTGATGATTGAATATGCAAGTACACATATGGGTGTGTGTATGTGTATGTGTGTGTGGGTAAGCATCGTTGTTTACTCTGGATGTGTATGGAAAGTTGAGTTCTCTTTAATTGAAATTTATGTTCGCAGATCACAGCATGCAAATTTATATGTGTGTATAGGGTTTGTATGTGTATGTGTGTGTAAATATGTATTTAATAAAATGCTTTTCTGAGTTTTTTCAGGAATATTTGTGTTAAATGGAAGCGTGATAAAAGTAAATTGAACTATTTGGACCTCTGACTATACTAAAATTAAATAGTCATTGATTTGTTGGATTAACTATTTGTGATAAAATTTATCACCAATCTTTTTCAGTTTATTTAAAGTGAAATAAAAAGAATTATTATAATATATTTTACAAAATTTAAATAAAAATATAAACATTTTTCAATCACTGCATGTTATTTTCATCAGTATTTGTACAAAATCTCAGGCGCTGTAAAATTAGTGACGTTATTTATACTCTGAACAGGGTGTTTTAACTTTGCCAAAAAGTTTGTACGTATAATACACATAAGGAAACGTCGAAAACCCTCTCAAATGATCAACCTGACGAGCTGAGTCGATTTAGCCATGTCCATTTGTATCTACATAAACTAGCTCGTCAGTTTTTGAGAGATTGAGCTGAAATTTTGCACACGTCGTTTTCTTTCCGCGAAGCTTACGTTAAAAAGTAACGTTCTATATTTTTTCATGTTTCCCAAATTAACCTGCATGTAATCGCAAGCAACATTTATTAAAATTTGAAAAATTATCATATTACATTATTTTACTTATACTTATGTATGCCTAATTTAGCAAGATTACCCCATATAAAAATGTGACTCTGATTTAGTGCAATTTTTCATGTAATCTGCAAGGATGAACTCATTGACAGTAAAAATTGTTAAAGTTTACTGTAAACAACAACAAGTAAGTCAGTTTTAACAAGATTAGTGAGCTGATTGATTGGATTGGCAATTAAATTTTGGTTTGAACATGTTTTTACGCAAATGAAGAGAGCTTCTCTTGGGGAAATTTTTTTTATTTATAAGGCGCTAAAAGCTTCAGAGAGGAAAAAACTAAACTCAACATCGCGATAAGTTTCTGGCCGACAATTAAGCAGTCGTAATAGTAGGATTTCACTTGTTAAATTAGCAAAAATTGTGAAAAATGTACATGTTTGGTGTAACTATATACGAGATAAAAGGTTGTAGGAAGAAAAGAATGTGTTCCAATATTTTTTAATAAAAGATGTATATTTTATATTTCAACATATTATGAGAAAATATAATATTTTTTGAATAGAATTCATGTAGTCACAGTGATAATGAAATTGTAGCATCAATAGAGATTTAAATTTATTGAACAAAAGTAGCGGCGAAAAAGTAGGTGTTAGTAGTAGTTTTTAGTATCAAATCTGTAACACAGTGAAGGAAAAATAAAACTTACAATGTTAATTAATTCCGTTTGTATGTATCTTTTTAATTAATGCTTTATTTTTTTAATACTATGCGTGAATAAGGGTGTTGTAAAAGCAAAAAAGAAAAAGCTTTATTTCAAAAGTCTACAGAACATAATACACAGCACAAATTGGCAAGTCACCAATCTCTGTAGTGGGCTTTGAATAATTAAATTAATTTTCCAAATGACTACATTAAGCAAATTAACTTTTGCCGTAATTTTCGGTTAATATTCAATAGACGCTGCCATATTTGACAGGCAATTTTCAATATAACATACATACATACATACCCACGCTGCTTTTATGTGAAGCGTCCCACACATACACCTAAAAGCTCTGTGCTTTAATAACAGTAAGTCAATACAATTTCCATACAACAGAGCGAAGATGAAAGTAAAACACCGAAAGCATTTTGAATTTCCATCCACAGTACCAGCCACAACAAAAAACAATTTCAAAAAAATAAACCAAGTCGA